TTTAATTTTTTTAACCTTTATTTTTATTTTTTACATATATTATAAAATATCTTTCAACAAAAATGATTTTAAAAAAATTATTTTTCCTAACCGCCAAGTCTAAATGCTACTCCCCTTGGCATTTCAGATTTTGGCTTTTCGGATCAAAATGCCAAGTGAAAAAGCCAGTAGCCAAACAATGGTTTTGGCGGTTCACTAAGTCAAAAAAACCAAAGTCAATCAAAGATGCCAAAAGCTATCCCAAATGCTGTTTTCCAAACACGGCCTATATATGTACTTTAGTTCCCCTTATATAGAGTATTTTTTATTTTGTTTTCCTTCTTTTAATGTTCTTTCATTTTTCATTACTATCACATTTATTCTTATTATTATTGCTTTTTCTATCTTAGTGTATTTTTGTTCAGTTTGACTATTTGATCTCAAATTCAATAATTTTTAATCATCAGTTACTCTCAATTTGTGTTATATTTCAATACAATGACTTCACGTTTTGAACATTCTCAACAAGATATAACTAATAAAATCATTTTTATACTAATATACATTATAACTTTTATTTAATTGATGTCCAAATTTTTAGACAAATATATTGAGATGGAAGTATTATTGTTGTTGTTGTTGTTATTATTATTACTATTACTACTCTGATGATGATTATTATTATTATTATTAATACTACTATTCGTACATTTTTAAATGTAGGGACTTAGAAAAAATGTAGGTACATTTTTAATACTAGATAGTAATACTACTACTATGTAGTTTACAAACACTAATAATCTAATATCTTGTGAATTAGAAAAAAATAGTTTCTTTTTAAATGTAGGGACTCATCTTTTATTCTTTGAATTTATCATCTTTTAATTTGTCTGCATTTTGTTTTCGAATAATTTTATTTTTTCATTGAATTATTTGAATTTGAATGTTGAATTTTTTTTGAATGATTTTAGTATGGCATGGTATTATATCACTTTATTTCAAAATAACTTGGTTTGGAATGATTGAAGTTCATAATTTAAAGGTGGAACGACATATGTTCAAAGGTCTAACATTTTTATTATTATATTTTGAATGTTATTGATTCGATTATAATATTTCAGTAGTATTTAATTTGTTCGTATTTTTTCAAACTAATGTGTATAAAAAGTCAATGCTTGAAAGACACAAAAGTCAATATGATTAGTTGTTCACCAAAGTACGTAGTATGCGTTAGTGGTGGGGTTGGGTAGCCAACTAGAATCATAGAATAGAATGAATTGGAGTGAATTGTTTGGACGTTTTTTACTTTAAAAAAATAATAAATTTCATAATTGATTCTTTATTATAAGAGATTTCTCCATTTAGTCATTTGTTATCAAATACAAGTACTCCGTATTATTCTAGTTGTTCTTTTATGTATATCTTTCCACAAATAGTATTTTTTTTATTTTCAATCATCATGTGGAGCTTAATTTAAGGACTAAAACAAGACCTGACAATAAATAACCCAACTTGTTTTTAACCCGAAACCAGACCTGAAAACACTGTGTTTTGAACAAAGATTTTGATAACAGAACCCGAAGTTGATCAAACCCGAAATGACCCGCTAAAAATGGGTCAACCCCGATCGAACCCGGACCCAACCTGACCGACCCGCTAAATGTATAATCTTTCAAAATCATACACTTTATTACTCATTTTTAGTGTATAAATTTATATTTCAGATAAAGTTTTAATGATATTGCAAAATTATCTTACTTTTCCAAAATTTAAGCATTTTTTAAATTCCTTATATTGATTTATATATCTAAAAATTATTTCAGAATTTAAAATAAAATAATCTAAGAGATTTAATACATTTTTTCACATTTTAAATTTTTAAATAGAAAATGTTAGTGTTAATGTGAATTTAAAAATTTAAAAATTTAAAAACCCAAAGTCATAACTCGTTGGATCAACCCGAACCCGATGACGCTAGGTCATGAACATACATTTCTCAACACGAATCGAATTGACCAGAACCTGAAATAAGTCGAACTCAAAGTGACCGAACCTGAACCTGACCTGACATACCGATTTGCCAGCTCTAACTAAAACTAAAATTTCACAATGATAATAAATCTTTTCTGTCATACACAATTTCAATGCTCGCTCCTAATACGTCGTTTGTGAATTACAGTCACTTTTTACTACAATCATAGTCTACAGATGTGGTCTTTCAGCGAAATCACAGTCCACAATCATAGCTATTATTTTTTTATTGTCCGTTTAACTAATATCAGAATCATGGTTGTCAAGTCGTCGCCTAGGCCACGAATAGTCGCCGACTAGTCGTCCGGGCTGTTTTGCCATGGCAATTTGCTCTTCGACTAGCGCCTAGGGCCGACTAGTACTCTACAAAGCGTGCAAAGCGACGCTTAGTCGCGATTAAACGCCGCCTAATCGGTGAAAGAATCTGGCCAAATTTGACCTAATCCAATTAACCCGACCCGACCCGACCCAAATTTCATTAAATTTTAATTTTTTTTTAATAAAACACGCCTCTTCGACGCAATCCATCCACAATCGACAGTCAGGAGTGTTGCGACTCTGGTATTCAGTTCCAGCAGTGACTTCCGTGACTTCCAGGCTTCGAGCGACTCTCCTCCATCAGCGATTCTCCTCCATGGGTAAGATTTCTCAATGTTTACTTTGTTATCATTAAAGTATACTCTTTATTTGATTTAATTTTCATTGATTTGGTTCATTAGACTATAAAGTATAATATACTTTAAAATTTTCAGTTTTCTTCTGTTTTCTTAATATTTCAGTTTTTTTTCCTGATTTCAGTTAATATTTTGGTTTTTTCTTATTCTAGTATTTTAGTATTTCAGTTTTTTTCAGTTTAATATTTCAATTTTTTTCTGAATTCAGTTAATATTTTGGTTTTGTATTTCTTATTTTAATATTTTAAGGGTTCTAGGCTCTTGTTTTTGTTTAGTTGCCGGAACGTCATATTCACCAACTTGATTTAATAATTATTTCAGAACAAATGAGAGATAATAATATCCGCGACTACGAAGACGATCCATCCAAGGACCCCAAACGAAAAGCCAGCTCCAATG